GGTTGTTGTTTTTTTAACTCTCGCTTGAAAAATTTAGTTTTTTGGGTTCCATAAAGCAGTTACGATTGTCAGAAGAATGAAAGGTTTTTTGTTCTCTCTCCCCTGAAAAATTTGCCTTTTGGGCTTTGACATTTTAACTGCTTGCTGATGATGTATAGTATTCGTAATGTTGATGAATTCACGGACCAATCTGGCGTGCAGCTGCTGCAGTTTTCCTTTTGTGTACATGCAAAAAGTGGCCGCATGACTGAGCTATCTGGATCAGCTCTGTCGACCACCTTTGTCTCGTTCCTTTTTATGCTTCGGAATTTTTCTACCCTCTTTTTGCGTTGACACCATGCATTCATACTTTGTGCCGTGGAGGGAGCGACATCACACTATCTCTTCCAAAAGATGATAAGTAAAATATAGCCTATTTTGTCTCATCATCATCTTTTTTCTTTTAAGTTGATGTAATTAAACATTATCTTATCTCATCTTATATTTTCTGAACGATTCTATCATAAAATAATGATCTTATCCAAGCTGATTTGTTAATGTCTTATCGTATTTCAAATTATTTTTGTGTCTAAGGCTTCCAAAATATAGAAACCGAGGAATAATATTGAATAATTTATCTCATAATAATATGTTAAACTTATTTTGTCTCTTCTAATCATGTAAGAAATATAAAACGACGTTAAAAGACCCCCCCCCAAAAAAAAAAAAAAAAAAAGAAATGTGTTATTTAGTGAGCTCATGCCCCACATTGAACTTTTGCTCGGGCTTTTAGCTCTTAGTAAGGTCTTGGTTGTGCGTCACTGAGGGCCGGTGTGTCTGTCAGCCTGTCGCTGAAGAAGCCAAGAAACCAATTTTCTAGATTTTTCTTTTTGAAAAGGACAGAACAGTTTAGTTGGTTTATGGTTTGACGCTGCGACCCCAAAGCATGCGAGCAAAGGGACGTAACCAATAAATAAAAAGAAGGACTAATTCAGTCCCTTAGCGTATTTCGTATAGACTGTGTTATTGATGGTGCAGCTTGGTTGGCTTTCTTTAACCCTATCCAACGCCTGGGGTTATTATGTATTTTGTACCCCCGGGGTTGTATTCTTCACATTTTGGAATACTTCTAGGTCGAAGATCTCTTTGAATCTTTCAGTATTTCTCAAAAAATCATTTTGACAGACTCTTTGGAAAGTGGTGGCCCAGAGTCCCACACGTCGTATAGATACGATAGTAAAACACGACGTGCAGACAGGGTTAAAAAGGAAAATGTAAAATGCAACA